CCTGCTTAAACGCGGTAGAAGTCGGGTGATTTCCTGTCACCTGCGAGATATAGGAAGATACATGTGGCACGGTTGGCTATATTTGCTATCGTGGAAAAGAACCAGTCTTAATTTGAAATGAAGACCGAACGGAGGCTTGCCGGTTTGCAGTGACTCCGTCTGTGTCGCTTAAGGACTGATTCTTGGAGCCTTTCCTGTTCATGTTGAATGCATGCCTCTCTCTTAGTTGGTCGGGTCTGGAGACCGACCACGAAGCCGAGTAGCTCACCTCAGGCCGGGAGTCGATAAGTATAAAGTGCGCCTCGGAAGGGAGCCGTAGGCGTGAGTCCAAGGGCAGGTGATTTAAAAGTCCTGATCATCCTGGCAGAAGGGTAATCCCTGAGAGTGCTGGCGCTGATCGAACCCACGAATTTGGTTCCTGAGATGTTCCAAAGGTGACCCACGGCTACCCTTGCAAAGTATGACAGGGTGAGAGTTAGGAATACCCCCTCAGCTGAGTTGTAATTCGATTCGAATCGTCGTCTCTTCCTGTTAGTGAGAACTTGATGGGCTTATCTCCAATGTAGATGCACTTAATAACTTAATGGTTCGGAAATGATGATATGATGATGACAGCCTTATTATACCTGCTATGGTTAATATTGTTTGCTCCTAATAAGTGAGTGCTCTAGTACAGGTGCTAATCTAGTGGACAGGTAACTAACGATAAGTTTAATGCTAAGTCTAAATTGGTTACTATAATCATAAGCTCTTTTATGCAACTGTGTCAAGCTAGCCCACCTGAAAAGCCTTGCATGATCCTTGGTGTCTTTTATTTCTGTTTTGTCGGGTAAGTCTAGCTGAGTACCTTCTCGTACTCAGGGTTTATCTCCCACCTGTTGCAGATGACCAGTTCTTCTTTGGTTGCTGCAAGTACTGCCTTCTCCCTGCTGGGGATGAAGACTAGACCGTTGGGCGCGGTCTCTACTAGTTCTCGTACCTGATAATGCTTTTGTGGGACATGACTCTGATCCTGGCAATGTATTTGAAACTATGAAGTTATGTACTAAACTATATTGCTTCCGCGCATTTAAACTTGGTTTGTAATATTTATTTGAACTCTGATGGATGTAATCCGAATGCTACTTGTGAAATGTTGTAACAGATGATGTGTTGTGTTGAATCAGTACGGTCTTGGTTTGTATGTCGAGAGTTGGTTGAAATCCTTCGTGATTTCCGGACTACCGGGATTATGGGAGCTTAAGTACAGGAATTTGATCGCTTCGGTGATTGTTTTTGTACTTACGTTCTTATGATTTGGTCGGTTCTGTTACATAGCGGACTCTACCACCATGGGTCTAGACTTTTGAACATTTTCTGAATTATGGGATCAAAAGCCCCCATATTCAGATGCTATCCCCAAGTACTTAAAGGAAAATCCCCCAAGTTACAGTTCAGCATGTTTGTCATTCTCTCTTTCTCTTTGCTAGACTCCAAACACAAACACCTCACTCATATGAAAATTAATCTTCAGGCCTGTTAACCACTCTTATCACGATAGATAATGAATGTTTGTCATTCTATCTTTTTCTCTTTGCTAGACTCCAAACACAAACACCTCAGTCTTATGAAAATTAATCTTCAGACCTGTTAACCATTCTCTCTTTTTCTCTTTGCTGGACTCCATACAAGTGAATGTTAATAAACCCTCTTAATCACAATTGCAGTAGTCTGTTAAGGAGATATTACCTGTTCGTTTATGCTTAAATTTGGTTTATGCTGATGCTTATGCTGAAATGTTGTGAGAAGAAAATATTATTCCATGGCTCAAAAGTAGCTCAAGCAAACAAGGTTTCTAGCCATCCGTTCTTTACACCTCATTTAATCCTAGCTATTCATCCATTTCCCTATCCTTATCCCAACCCCTCTATCCCAATATCCAAACGGCAAAAGGATGGAGAGACATGAGTCTATAGTGTTCATGATATCGTTAATTTGAGGGGTAGAGATGACTAGTTGTGCAGCGATCTGTTTTGGTGTAGTGCTAGACTGCTAGTTACGTAGTTTGAAAGACATCGCTTTACTTTGTTTTAGATAAAGGAACGGAGAAGGTCCTGCTTTACTTTATCATCATTCTCTCTCTTTTCCCACTCCTGCTTACTTCCTTGTGTGATTTGAATGTTTGATCCAAGTATATGTTCATATCAAGGTTGACGAATGTAGAGTCATAGCCAGGCTTTTGCTAAATGACTCAAATGAGGCGGACAAGTGAATGTTTTTTTAAAGGAGTTTCCTCTGCTTTAAGAAAGCAAAGTAACCATTACGGAACTGGGGATACCAGTGTTCAACGAGAAACAAAGTACTAGAACTATTACAGCTTTAAAACTCATAGACGTCCGAAGTTGTAACTACACTAGGCTTGAAGGCATCAACTCCATGATGTTGCACTTGGTCTTCATAATGCGCTCCTTATCCACCTCTTTCAACATGATGCACCATTTCTGCAGTAAGGATAAAGCAACATAGATCATGTCAGCAGGAGCTTTAGGTAGTCTTTTTTTCAATAGCCATCTTTTTCAATAGCCAGCAAACAAGAACATGATTAAACGAATAGGCAAGGGCCCTGCAACCAGGTTTCCGAGAATTCTTTTAGTGATCTAGGAACATTATTCAAACTGAACACCTCCTTTACGATACTCCAAACAAAGCGAGCGGAAAAAATATGATCTACAGACTCTAAGCCACCACACAGACAACACTTGTCACCTCCTTTCCAACCCCTTCTCGTCAAGCTTAGTGCCACCTGCAGTTTGTTGTTAAACATCTGACACAGAAATAATTTAATTTAATCTTCAAAGGGATCCTACTTTTCCAAATGTAACCAGCAATCCTGCTAGAAACTCCCCAATTAGTGAGGAACCTATTTAGAGATTGGGTAGTGAAAAGCTTTTTCTTTTTCTAAAGCCCAGATAACCACATCATGAGAATCAGAATCTAAAACAACATTGGCTAGTTCATCCTGTAAGGCCTTCCACCTCTCAAACTCAGGCACAGACAGAGGTCTTCTAAAGTCAATGTACCAGTCCTCCACCCATCAGTCATATACATAGCACTCAGGATCTCTGACCATCCTGTACAGATCCTCATAGGAAATCTTATAGGGTACCTCATGGTAACCAGCAGTCTTGCCAAAATTTGCAGTTTAGTCCATCCCCAATTTTGAAAACAGCTCCCCATCTAAAAAGGTGTTTGACCTTATGAAGGCCTTACCAGAACTGTGAGCCCCCTTTGCTCTTAGAAGTGAAGAAGCTACAACCATCCAAATATTTAGCCTTAATTAATTTGAACCAAAGTTCATCAGGCTCTTGGTGTATTTTCCAGATCCACTTTACTAGTAGGCATTCATTCATTATCTTGGTGTTAATAATCCCTACACCCCCATGGTCCTTTGGCCTAGAGACCATTTTCCATTTGGTCATGTGGTACCTAAACTTCTCCTCATTTCCTTGCCAAAGAAAATTAGTCCTTATACCACCCATCTTCTTATGAACCCCTTCCTGCAGCCAATAGAAGCTCATGCAGTACATAGGAATACTGCTTAAGCAGGAATTGGTCAGGATCAATCTGCCCCCAGAAGTAAGATTTCTCCCTTTCCATGTGTTATGAGTTATGACCGGCATACATCCTCCCTAACTGTGTCCGTGGCTAAGTGCCTGTGACTGCTTCCTGGCCATTGCATGCTGGCATGCTCCTCTAGACCCTTTCAAGTGTTTCCCAGCCGTGAAAGTATTTGCTATTCTTAGATAAGGACTTAGTCGAGTGGTGTGAGTTGAGTGATGAGGGAAATAAGAATCCGTAATGTCCGTGAAAGAAAGTTAAGCAGAGCAACTAATTTGTTGCTTGGCTTCACCCCGGAGCTCCAGGAGCTCCCTCTTCCTCGTTCTTACTCGTCCGCCGCCGCCCGCCTAGGCCTCGTCCTCCCGTCTTTCACCCATACAACCTCCGCAGCACTAGTCGCAGGGTAGCAGACTCTACCACCATGGGTCTAGCCTTTTGAACATTTTCTGAATTATGGGATCAGAAGCCCCCATATTCAGATGCTATCCCCAAGTACTTAAAGGAAAATCCCCCAAGTTACAGTTCAGCATGTTTGTCATTCTCTCTTTCTCTTTGCTAGACTCCAAACACAAACACCTCACTCATATGAAAATTAATCTTCAGACCTGTTAACCACTCTTATCACGATAGATAATGAATGTTTGTCATTCTATCTTTTTCTCTTTGCTAGACTCCAAACACAAACACCTCAGTCTTATGAAAATTAATCTTCAGACCTGTTAACCATTCTCTCTTTTTCTCTTTGCTGGACTCCATACAAGTGAATGTTAATAAACCCTCTTAATCACAATTGCAGTAGTCTGTTAAAAAGAAATTAACATTACGTGGACATAGTGAGCTTGGCCACTTGCATCTTGGCAAGGCATCCTGTTCTTGTCAGGTTGGACAACAGCTGATGGATTGTCCTTTTGTCAGACAAAGTGGATTAGATGCTAGAACAGACATGCAAGGCAGAAGAAAGGATACATATGCATCAAGTAAAGGATCCGGACATAGTTCTGAATTAACTAACTGAAGAAACACTCAAAGAATATCCATATTCCTCACAGGAATTGTACTATGCTTGCCATCTGAACCGAAATAAAGAGTAACTATGCATTGAGGGCAAAGCAAATCAAAGCATTTGTACTGTATGGACTACCGAGCATGTCATGCGCCATTGTTGTTGCTCGAACAAACAAGGGCCATCCATTCCACGCAGCCACACAAGATGCAATAACATGTGTTGCTCCTAATTAAGTCATCCACTCTACTGGACGACGAACAGCTAGCTAGCTCAGCTAAACTAGTCTAAGCATATCTACCTTTGCTGGAGTGGAGAGTGGAGACACACCGGCTAGCCGGCCGGTGAGAGGCAAGGGGTGCGGACGCTAGGGCAGGGTCTCAGCATCGTCTGTTCAACGATGGCTGAGCTCGCGTCAGGCGCCGTGAGCTCGCTGCTGGGCCTCCTCCGGAATGAGGCACTGCTACTGAGCAAAGTCGGGAGCGACATGGAGTTCATCAAGGAAGAGATGGAGAGCATGCAGAGCTTCCTGGAGCACCTGGCCAGGACGGCTCGTCACACCAGCGGGCACGACGAGCAGGTGCGCACGTGGATGAAGCAGGTCCGTGACCTCGCCCGCGACTGCAGCAACTTCATCGAGCTCCACCACCGGTGCGGTGACCCCGCAGTATACCGTGCCAGGGGACAGCGCTGGCGCTGCCTCTGGTGGGCTGACTGGCTGGTGCACAAGATGGTCGCCCAGCACAGCGCGGCCAACCGGCTGCGCGAGCTCAAGGAGCGGGCGCGCGACGTCGGCAAGAGGCGGTTGCGGTACGGTGTGGAGATCCCACGGAATGACGAGGCGGGAGCAGGAGGGACTGCTGATGCTGCGTCATCATCTATGCTGCCGTTGTCATCGCTGTGGCCGTCTCGTGCTACTGTGCCGCTTGCGGCAGCAGAAGAGGAGGAGGATGACTACGAGGAAGAGGATAAAGCGGCGGAAGTAGCAGCGACCGACGGTTCCGATCCCCGTGGAAGAGCCCTAGAAGAACCTCGTGATCAGCTGGAGGACTACTGCGCCGAGAAGCTAGCAAGCTGGCTAGTAGAGTTGCAATCCAAGACCAATGAGGTGGCAATAGCATCCACTGCCATTGTTGCACCACATGATGCCGAGGACGCCGGGACCATCGCACGTGAGTCTTTAAATTTGGCCACCAGCCATTTCACGCGCAAGGTCTGGATCAATCTTCCGGATTTGCACCACCCATGGGATCTTCCGCTTCTGCCATCAGAGGTTCTCGCTTACATCCTGCGTGAATGCGAGAACCAGGAGCGGCAGAAGCAGAAGCAGGATGGATGCAAGCAGCAGCAGAAAGGCAAAGAAGTCGTACAGGACGACGATAAGGTCAATGAGAAGGATACTCGATGGGAAGCTTTCCACTACAAAGGAGATCTTGGTGAGAAAATCTGGAATATGATTAGTTATAAAGATATCGTCGCCAAGATTGAAAATATCAGGAAGAAGATTGGAGGAGTCGACAGCAGCATATTTGAAGGATCATCCAAGAACTTGATGACGAGCATGACAGATAAACGTTTAGGTGTACTGCTCCATGTACTGCGGCTCTTGCAGGAAGGGCCTGACAAGGGTTTGCGTCTATCCTGGGATGAGGCCATGAAGGAAACTGCCTCCAAGCTGAAAACTCACATGGAACAAGAAGTCGAGGCTAAGCCAACTAGTAATACGGAACAAGAAGTCAAGGACAAGCCAACTAGCAATACGGAACAAGAAGTCGAGGCTAAGCCAACTAGCAATACGGAACAAGAAGTCGAGGACAAGCCAACTAGCAATATGGAACAAGAAGTCGAGGCTAAGCCAACGAGTAATACGGAACAAGAAGTCGAGGAGAAGCCAACTAGCAATACGGAACAAGAAGTCGAGGCTAAGCCCCAGATATGTCTCAATGATACCCAATATAATGATATTCTGAAGAAGGTGTTCTCGGAGAGCAACACCAACACCAGCTCGACTGCGACTGCAACTACACTGGGCGAGGATCACATCAAAGAAATAATCCACAACCACAGGATGACACTGGACATCATATGGGAACTTCTTCCCAAGCAGCAGCAGCAACTAGAAGGCAATACTACTGCTACTGCTGCTGAAGCTGTTATCAAACAAACTAGGGAAAAAATGAAGGATATCTCTGGGGAGGCTGCTAAGGCTAGTGGTGCTGTCGCTACTGCTATCAATGAAACCAAAAGAATGCTATCTGATATCATTGACGAGATTATAGGTCAGATGCTTAATAAAGGGGTAGTGGACATGATTAACAAGCACCTGAAGGATGAGAAGACTCTGATCATCCTCCAAGATAATGATAACGACTTTGTATCCAGCCGGTGGGAGGACACCAGATATGCTTTGAATCTATTAGGCTGCGCTGCCGGGAGCGCAGTGATTGTGTCCACAGAGAATAGCAAGAAGGCCAAAGAATTTTGCAGTCCACCTGGGGAGCCAGTAACCTGTTCTCTCGTTGGCCTCTACCATGATATTGTGCTCCAGCTTACAGAGCAACGGGTGAACAATGGAAATGATGGCTACAACCCTCAGGTCCTCCGTGACATCTTGGAGAGTTGTCATCCACATGAATTCTGCATGAAGATCTTCGCGCACGCTCTTTATGCTAATCCCAACAGGAGCTATGAGGAACTGCGCAAGTTGCATCAAGACCTGGTTCCCCAAAAGACATTGGGCAGTAAAGCTAAGAAGATGATCAAGTTCTCCTACAAAGAACTGCCCAGAGAATACAAGACTTGCTTGCAGTACCTTGCTATCTTCCCTCAAGGCCACAACATCAGGCGGTCAACCTTAATAGGACGGTGGGTCACCGAAGGGCTGATAACTAAGCAAGACTGGCGCACTACTGTGCGTCATGCCGAGCGATGTTTTGACGCCCTCGTCAAACGGGGGCTTGTTTTGCCTCATGATATTGGTGCCACAGGAAAGGTCAAGAGCTGCATTGTAGGTGATCAAGTCCATGGGTTTATCACCAAGATGGCAAGTAAAGAGCACATTTTGGATGCACGCCTGTCAGATCAATGGGCTCGCCACTTCTCCATCTTTAGTGGCCTCCGACTCCGTGCCTCTGATAGGATTGAGAAGTTTGTGCAAAGCCTCCCCAAGTATTCACCACAATTGCCATTGCTCAAGGTGCTAGATCTGGAAGGCGTTAACTGCTTTGACAAGACTCAGTACCTCAAGGACATATGCAACAAGATATTACTTCTCAAGTATTTGAGCCTTAGAAGAACAAATGTTACCAAACTGCCCATTGAAATCAACAACCTCCATGAGCTTGAGGTCTTGGATATCCGGCAGACAAGGGTGCCTGAGAATGCCACAAGAAATGTCCTGCTCCCGAAGCTGAGGCGCTTGCTGGCGGATCGTGTTGATTCAAGTTCAGGAACGTGTGCCAAGTCATGCTCCGCTGTCCAAATTCCCTACCAAATCGAAAGGATGGAAAATTTGGAGGTACTGTCAAATGTCAAGGCTTCAGGGGATGGCAGTGACTTGAACGAAATAAGAAACCTATGGCAACTGAGGAAGCTCGGTGTGGTTATCCAAGACAACTACAATCACCTCAGGAGGTTGTTTGGAGCTATTAGTGACCTTCATGAGTGCCTTTTGTCTCTTTCAGTCACTATATCACCCATCACCAAAACTAAGAAAGTACCCTCTAGCGTCAGTGAAGAGAGACTACTACAAGACAATATGGATACTTGGCGAAAGAAAACTTGCAAGCTTGAGAGCCTAACCATCAACGGAGTCACACACACAGAAAAGGTGCAGCTTCTCGAATCATTGGCCAAAGGTTGCGAGGATCTTGCCAAGTTTACTCTAAGCGGCAGCTTGTTGGAAGAGGAAAGCCTAATGGTTCTTGCTATGCTTCCCAAATTACGCTCTGTCAGGCTCCGGTCCACAGCATATAGTAAGACAAAACTCACCTTCAGCATGGAAGAATTCACACAACTCAAGTACTTTCTTGTTGAGGGTCCTGACATGACAGATAAAAAAACAAGCATGACTGAGACCGACATCAAGTTTGAAGATGGAGCGACTACTGAGCTCGAGAAGATCGTCTTGTGCTTCACCAACATAAGGTCCCTTTGTGGGATTGACAAGCTTCCAAAACTGAAGGAGCTCGAGTTAGAAGCCAACCAATTTCTTCTTTCATTTTCTCACGAAGAAGCAGCTCCTGAGCAACACACTGAGAACAGAGATGACAAGCCAAATACCCAAAATGGAGACCCCAAGAAAAATATAGAGAGCAGAGCTCCCGGGCATAACACCGAAGACCAGCAAAGCACCGAGAGCAGAGCAGCTGCCGAGCAAGACACTCAGAGTAGAGCCCCTGAGCAAAGCACCGAGAGTGGAGCAGCTGCCGAGCAAGACACCCAGAGCAGAGCCCCTGAGGAAAGCACCGAGAGCAGAGCAGCTGCCGAGAAAGACACTCAGGGCACAGACCTTGATGAGCAAAACACCAATACAAGAGATACTGAGCTAGGCACTCAGAGTAGAGTCCCTGAGCAAAATCCTGCGAGGAATACAGTTCCTGAGCAATGCACGGAGAGCAGGTTCACCTTCAAGAAGGACAAATTCCAACATCTTGTGTGCTTTCGCTTTAAGGACTCCAAAAGGACCAACATCATCTTTGAAACTGGAGCAGCACCTGAGCTGAAGAAGATCATTCTGTCCTTGGATGACAAAAGGTCCAAGCTTACTGGGGTCAGTGACCTTCCAAAACTGAATGAGGTTGAATTGAAGGGTGACAAGTTCCTTCTCGAATTATTTTGCAACGCCAACCATATTTCCAAGATGACCCTTCGAGATACTCAATTGAAGCAAGAAGATATACATAAACTTGGCAAGAAACAAAGCCTACGTTGCCTAGTGCTATCAGACAATTCTTATGATGAAAGCCAGCTTACCTTCAACAAAGATGAGTTCCCAAAACTTGACCTTCTTATTGTCAAGTGTCGTAACATCGACAGCATCAGCTTCACTGATGAATCAGCTGCTCCTAGGCTAGAGAGGATCATTTGGTCCTTTAGCAAGATGAAGTCTCTCTCTGGCATCAGCAATCTTCCGAAGTTGAAGGAGATCGAGTGCAGTGGTGACCATGTGCCTTATCAGGTGAGGAAAGAAATTACAGCACATGAAGGGAAACCTGTTCTTACACACAAGAGGACACTGCAACAAGGCCAAGCAACAGGAGAAGAGGGCAATGATACAGGATCTCCACTGATCTCCTGCTTCTTGAAGATCAAGAGTCGAGGCTAACTGGCTAAGGAAAGGTTTGCAAGGAATTCACTTTCCATTCATCCTTCTCTACACTCATCACTGATTTCCAGGACTGCTGGCCCCGTTTGTGTGCATGCTATCGGTACGCTCTGTGCTTGTGTGTGTCTTTTGTGTCTGTTACCCCTCCTGCAAAGGGACTGTGCGCGTCTGTGGTTGTGTGCATGCATGCATGCTTGAGCATAGCACCTGTGTGCTGCTATGCTTATGTATCGATTTGGATTTCCATTGTTGTGTGTGTGTGTGTGTGTGTGTGTGTGGCTTTCCTCTCGATTTGCACAGCATGCCTGCCTGCCTGCATGCTTGCTTATCTTATGGTATGAGTCTGCTTTGAGCATATATATGGGACATGTGGCTGTTCCGGGTGTCCCACGCTCATGTTTTCGGATGTGTTTGTGGAGGGTTATATTCTCTGGATCATCGTCGGGTATGGTTCCATCTGTAATAAGTGCGACATTTCGCTTGTAAGTTGATTTCCTTATGTGTGCTATATATGCTTAAGCTTTAGAAAATGTGTGCAAACAACGACAAAGTGTTGTCATATATTTTTCTTTTTATTAGATTCAGGTATTAAAAGTATTCCAGCCTCCTCCATCCACGCATAAATGAGTATAGCCGTTCATTACAACCGAAAGACACTTAGACCAAACACTGCTAAACGAAACATAATCAGGTTCAAACGATCAAACAATGATCCACAACAAAAGATAAGGAGAACTTAGTTATTTATTCTTCTTTGGCGACTCCAACACATCTTCCCAACGACTTCGATCACCATAATTTTTAAGTTGTGTGTCCCATTGCAGCGTATGGGTATGTTTGCTAGTTAGTAATAATTAAGATGATAAATTATGGGTATAAATTGCATGATAGCTAGTACTAAATACCCACCAATTCAACGAAATTTGATAGAATTTAAAATTAAACTACCAATGAGCTGAACCCACAACCTACATATGGATGTAGTGTATGTGTATGGCGTTTCCACCAATGCCTCAGCACAATGGTTTTTTATACCGGTAGGGAAAAAACGGCACCTACCGATAAATGCGAAATTTTGGGAATTTCCGAAATTTCAGGCATTTAAACAAATTCAAACTTTAAAAAAAAATTGGCAGAATTTTAGTTGAAATTCTCTCTAATCCATCTACAACATATATATATATATATATATATATATATATATATAGAGAGAGAGAGAGAGAGAGAGAGAGAGAGAGAGAGAGAGAGCAAACGGTGACAAATGCTTTCTATTGAGGGGGGAACGTGGTTCATCGTCATACCAGAACATGGCTTATGTGCCAGCGCCGAGAGGCAAGCCGGCGACCGAACTGGGGTGAGGGGTGAGGCCATGGGACTGGGGACCAGGGCCCACGCCAAGCCAACCTACACACCTTTGGCCTCTGCTCGACTGCGGCGCGGCGCACGATGGCGGGAGGCGGGGCAGTGCGGCAGCACGATGGGGTGGCCACGCGGCGCTGCTGCAGGAGGTGAGGCAAGCCGCAGGCAAGCAGCTACTCTGTGGCGGCGTTGTCGGGAGGCGGGCGGGCGCGAGGCGGCGGCTCGCCTGGGTCACGAGTAGCATTTTTTTTTTTTGGGGAAAACAAAAGAGAAGGTCTGAAATGTATGTGGGCTGGCTGGCGGAACTGGAGTTTTGGCCCATTTCGTAGGGCCAAATTCAACTAAAATTTTTACTAGTATGTTATATTTTATATTCGGCGCCCAGCCAAATTTTGGTTTTTTGGCAAAATTTCACGAAATTTGCTGCACAATATAGGACACCGTAACAGCACACATAAACCCAAAAAAACAGCACCATTTGTTAACTCCAAATTTCTCTGTTACACCATCACTAGACCGGAGGCCAGATTTAGAATACAGTAGTGCTTGAAATTGGACATTCGGACAGTTCTCTTTCCGTTTCACCACATCCACTGTTAACTCGTCATGGACCTAAACGAGTTGACTTAGCTTCTGCTTCTTGGCACAGGCCCACACGAGTTACTCATTCTCCGCCGCAAGGGTTCGCTCGCTGCGTCGCTTCCTCCCTGGTCCCTGCGTCGCCGTGCCCACACACCTTCCTCCTTTTCCCACTTGCTCCCTCCACCACTGCGTCAACCCACATGCCATGCTTGCTGCCGTTCATCCACCTTGCTCCTTGTGATCCCACCAACCTTCGTTTCCTCTCATGGATGCCCTTGTGAAGTTCTGCACCTTACTCTTTGGCTCCAAGGACTCGATTATTGCTATCCTCGAGTTATAAGTTTGCCATCTCATGCTGCTAATAAGGGAGCCCTAGATCCACACCCTCCTCTTTAGCTCTGGGTTTGATGTTGTTCGGCATATGATTCTTGGATGTTACATTTGTTGTTTCTTCTACATTGCATCATAAGATTTCTCGTGTTTTCACTACTACAGCCACGTCGTAACCCCTATCACAGTCTGATTTCGACCTCGGCGGTAAGCTGTCGGCAGTGTTAGTCATAGCCGTCGCCATCGCTATCTGAGACCAACTGGGATGTTCACTACACCTCCGTTTTGGCTTATCATCCGTCCATGATAAGGTGCTTACTTCCGTCACATTGGAGCATGGCTCACATGTGTGGGTATGCACTAACATCGCCGCATGGCTTATGATCCGTCCATGATCAGATCCTTATTCCATCGCATTGAGGCCCGACCCGCCTATGTAGGTGTACACTAACACCACCGTGTTGGCTTATGATCCATCCGTGATCAGGTCCTTGTTTCTGTCGCATTGGAGCACGACCTGCATGTGTTGAGGCAAACATCACCATCGCTTCAACGAATGAACCATCTGGTCATAGGGCATCATCACCGTCGCATTGCGGTACGATCCACCCGTGATGATCCTTTAGTCGGTGTCGGGTTACTAAACGATTCGGTGGTGATACACTATTGACCCCTGCCGCATTAGACGAATACCGGCGGTGATGACAAAACAACCAACGGCCTGTACATCCGACGGTGATAGAATTGCTTCTGATTTTCACAATGTATTTACTAATTCAGCTGGGCCTTAATAACTTACTGAACACACACCATATAGATATAATCATTATACATCATTCATCAAGTCCACAATGAAGAGTACTTGTTATAATAACAATGCTCAAAACTAATATAACAATTGTGTCAACTGATGAATTAACACAAGCAGTACATAGATAGCATAATAAAGGTTCTGCTCCCTACAGACTTACGTAAGGTAGATGTGCTCCGCTCCTTCAGATTGGCACTCCTTGATCATCTTGGCAGCCAATGCACGATGAAACCCCTCTTCTTCCTTCCATAGCCATTGCAGGAAAATCATTCAAAAGCTCCAAGACTCCAAAACCTGCACAATGCAAAGCAACAAAATTAATAATTAATAATATTCAATATACCATTGGTTTAGTTAACAAGCTAAAATTGGACTATATATAGACTCAAAACAACTTCCTGCCTGAACAAAGACATGTCCTAATAGCAAAATACAGCATATGCACCTTTACTGCTCTGCTAATGACTCCATGAACAAGGGAACATAAGGAAGATAGTGAGGTTCATTGATACATAAACTCCAGGTAGGTCTAGGACAGCGGATAACCCGTGTAGGGAGGACATGAACTTTTTCGTGGTTCATGTCATATGCAAGTACTGTTCTGTCCTCTCCAATAAGGAAAATTAAATTCCATTTATGGTGAACTGCAATCACTCTGTACTTCCTTATCGGCCTGTTGGTATATTTAATGCACACAGATAAATCCACAAGTGCACGGATACTATTGTAGCTTTCACCCGAAAGTATTCCATGTATCATATCCATAGGGAAATGTGTGAGAGTAACTACGTCTAACTTAACCCGGAGTAGCAACAAGACTTAAGATAATAGGAGTATAGAGGAGATCACAAAGGTCTTTTAGTTCTAACTTCGGTAAGCTATGTCTTCTATTGTTCAACAAGGGATATTACTAAGGGAAACACAAGCAGAGTATGTTTCCTATAGTAACTAAATCCTGCTAGGCCTACAAACGGGAGGTGGACTATAAAGGATTCAACGAGACTATAAGAGTCACCCTCGCGAGCTACCACCGATCCAGAATATAGGGTACATCCACAAGTAACCCGGTCTAAGCACCACGCTTACACCTACAATTACTACTTTAACCTAAGCGTCCTATAGATTAAAGTACTCAAAAGAGTTACGAACCTGATGAGCAATATAAACACGATGCTTACTTGAATTAGAAGTTGATTACTAGAGAATCCTTAGAAGCAAGCTCAAGTAGAACTTGACTCCGCCAGGGTACAAGCCGTAGAGAGAGTACCGATAGGCCGGTACTTCCTCCAAACTCTTCCATCATACTCTATCTCACTATTATAAGACTAGATCCTATGGAGAACTAATCTTGTCTTGATAGCTGGCTCTGATCCTGATGAGGAGAATATGAATTAGGGTTTCAAGATGGCTATAGGGAGGGGGATAGGGGCTGCTATATATAGGCCGAGGTGGAGTAGGGGGCAAGGAATCATGGTGGAGTAGGGGGTAAGGAATCGTCACGTCATCGATCCACGTTAACTCTCTCAATCATTGTTGGATAAACCGACCTAAAACCACCTTAAAATCAATGGTGTAGATCTTAGGAACGAGTACGAGGCAGCGAAGGGCGAGCGAGCTCCATGGTAGGCCGGTCGGCCTATGGGCTGGGCCGACCGGCCCACTTTTGTGGCTGTTTGGCCCAAGCTTCGGCATGGTGTCTTCTGGAACCTTCTAGAGTTGTCTTTCGCAGTTTTCACGGGTTGAATCACTTGTTGTCGTCGATTTGCTTGTTTGGAGTGTATGATAGTGGTCCCGAAAGTTATTTTCTAGATAAATCCTCCTGCAGTCATGAAATCACCAAAGCTCATGGAATTCATTAGTTTAAACCCCTATACCTATGTTTAGTGATGAAATTAAATATAAATGCAGGTTATGTTAACGGTTTATAATTGGTGTGAGTGACCGTCAACATGGCCCTATTGGCCGCGTGGCGCTTGTCCCTGCGAGCCTTCACCGCCTGATTGTCGCCATAGTCCCCAACTCCACCAAGCTCGCAGTCACGGGCCATGGCATCATTGCTCAGGATATACTTGGCCAAAGCACTATGCTCTGGCCTAGAGATCCCCTCGCCTCTGCGAGACTTCCCATTCGCGTGCTGCAGCAACTCGTGAAGACTCCATGATGGCACTTTCTTGCCACGGCAAAAAGGACACACAAAGGTGCCCTCGCCATGACCACGAAACCTAACGCCTCCATTGGAGAGGCTGAGTAGGATCTCGCTCTCTTCTTCAATTCAGACTCATCTCGAATATGAGTTTTCAATCTCGAGTCACTGTGGGTCATATGCTCATGAGAGAGTTGAAGAAAGAAAGAGAAAGATCAACTGCAAAATTTTGTAAGTTTAGAGTGGAGAAAGCAACACACCGCATACCCCCTTCTTATACTCTTCGCGCTACTAACGCTGAATCACCGTATGAAACGGCGACGGGAGCTGTAACACCACCGAGAATTGATTTCTAATTCCATATTCATCACATAGCAGAGTTCATCCGATCAAGTCTTGCGTCACATTTTTTATGAGGAATTAAATTAAAAGCCAAGCAGAAGTCAGTACACGTGACCATGTCCCTCTATTAAATGCCAAGCAGAGGAGCCATTGGTGTTGAAATGCTATTGTAACACCATCGTAATGCATGTGTTCACCAAATAAATAATTCAATTTGCAAACAAAACAAAGATGGCACACTAGTTTAGCTGAAATAATGACAACATCCATCATTGTGGAAATTAATATATCCATAGACAAGCAAACAACATTGGTCCATTCTGGGTGACTGAGATACATCAAATGCAGCTTTATTTACTGCTCTGCTAATGATTCTAAGAACGAGGGAACATAGGGAAGATAAAATGGTCTGCAGTTGAACTCTTTTTTAACGCTACGTCTAACATACCAAAAGACACGGGCAGGGATGACATGAATTCTTCTGTGATCCATGTCATAAGCGATGATTGTTCCATCCTCCCCAGCAAAGAAAATCATATTCCATTCTGGGTGAACTGTAATCACTGTGTACTTGGCAACCCAATCCACGAAATAAAATCTAATATTAATCCTTCCAAACAGGATCCACGTGCTGACCGTATGCTTCAATGTCCAATTATTAGTACCATAGTCTTCAAGGATTTAGATTGAAAGCTTAGAATCATTGGGACCAGCAATAGTACATACACACAAGTGACCCTGAGCTTGATATATGGAGTGTTGAAGACCACTAGGCCTATCAATTTGCCTCCATGTGTTTTCCTCTATATCCACAACAAGTATCATAGAGTACTCCCCAGAGTGCCTCATAATGTGTAGACAACCGTTAAGAAACACAATTGGTTGTCTGTAAAATGTCACATCAGTATTCTCACCCCATTCAGATTCCTTATAGATCCATGCTGCAGTTTCAGATGAGTAGATCTCCACACCCACGCACAAACTGTCGACATCCACATACTCAATCACATGGAAGTGCGAGGAGGCTGTTTGATCGGACCCCAAGCGAGCCCCATGCCAATAGAATGGCCAACATCATGGATGCTAGGTGGCAGTATATTAAACTTTTGGGTCATTGGATTGCAGACGATATAGCAGTATCCATTAGCCCCAAGGCACCAGCACAAGATGAGGCCGTTGCAGCAATCTGAGACGGCTATATTGTCAGGGTTGAAGGGCAAGAATTCGAAGGAGGGGGCATACACCAGAGATGCTGGTAAAGTTTTGATTGCGGTTCTCACCGACGTAGAAGAAGCCGGCCACAGTCTGGGGTAGCACCTGACGGTTGTCGGAGATGAGGCGCTTCTAGGAGTGACAGACACATTTGCAGGAGAACAAGGAGCAGGCGGGGAGGTGGCGGAGAATCTCTAGAACAAGATCCTCTGTGAGGCTAGCCAGTGCGTTCCTATTGTTGGGGGCCGCCTCCATTTCGAAGAGCCTGTGATTGTCATTGTGCAGTAGGATGAGAGCTTCCTTAGTAATGAGATTACTAAAGAGGAAAATAATCTAACAAAGATCCATCAGTGAAGTGCGAAAGCATACCCTTGCCTTTGGATCTAGCGACGACGCGGCGCGAGATGTGCAATAGTTCACACAAATTGCAAGAGGAACAATGCGCCGGCCGTGTGGGAGGTGGTGGCGGTGCGGCGCGAGGCGTGCAATGGAGAGAGGAACATTGCGCCAACTTTGGAGATGGAGAAGTGGAATGGTGATGCAACTGTGTTGTGGGTAGTTGGGAAATATGGAAATAACTCAGGATGAATTTAACCAAACGGTCATGTAGAGCCGGCGGCCAGAACGCCTATCCAGTTGGCTTGGCTTTTCATGCGACGGAGAAAATACCACTGTCATATCTACTGTTAATCCGTGGGTGCTAGAAGTTTCAACCGTTGGTTTCCTTCCTCATGAGGCCTCGCTATGGGTACAACCGGTGGTGGAAGCATAACACAGTCGCTTCTATCGCTACGGCAGTGAAAGTGGCGATAGTGAGAAGTCAATCTGTACTAGTGTTTCGTAACAGGTTTAATTGTTTCAGCAGATGATCTCTGAGGTTGTTGTAACAAAACTAACATGTTGTGTTACATGAATATTTGGCATGCGATGGTTTCTCATGTTGATTAGAGATGTCTCATCTTCTTTATTTCGATGTTGCGGTAACTAGCTGTTGGATGTTGCACTTTGTTGATTTTCTCCATGTTGCAACAAACAGACTGAGATGTTTCAATAAATGATTTATCATGTTGCACAAATAAAACTGAGATATTTCACTGCATGGTGGTTCATGTTTCAACAAATGATTTCTCCATGGCGATTTTTTTGGGAAAACAAAAGGAAAGGCGTGAAGTGTATGTGGGTTGGCTAGCGGCGATTGGAGTTTTGGCCCATTTCGGCACGGAATTTGGTCGCGGGCCAAATTCGAGTGAAAATTTTGACCGATATGTTATTTTATTTGGTACCTAACGAAAAATGCGAAATTCGGTGAAATTTCACCGAAATTTGCTGGACAAATATAGGACAACATATCAGCACGCATAAACCAAAAAAACAGCACCATCTATACACTCCAAATTTCTTTGGAGGCCAGATTTAGGATATCACATGGCACATTGACACTTCACCCAGAGAGAAGAGAGGAACAGACACTCCGAGCAGCTGTCCACGTGTCCCTCCTTTCCCGCAAAAAGACACGGCAACCACCAGAGCGCAACGGGCACCTCCGGGACACGCGCGCCGCCGCTCGCCCGGCCATGTCCTCTCCTCGCCGCAGGCCTATATCTTCCCCCCATCCATATAGGAAGCCCTGCAAGGGGGCTGGCTTCCCGCACTGCCCTTCCCCGCCAACAATGGAGGCCGCCTGCCGCGCCACGGCCGCGGTGGTTCGCCTGCGCCGCTGCCGGAACGACAGCAGCCTCGCTTCCGTCTACCTCGCCGCCATCCTGCTCGCGGCAGCAGCCACAGCGGCCGCGCTCTCGGACTCGGAGGCGTCCGACATCGCACGGCGGCAGCTGCTGTCCCTGCGGGACGGCGACGGCGACCTCCCGACGACTTCGAGTTCGACATCCACGTGGACGTCACCTTCGCCAACGATCGCCTGCGCCGCGCGTACGTCGCGCTCCAGGCCTGGCGCCGCGCCATGTACTCCGACCCCAAGAACTTCACCGGCGGCTGGGTTGGAGCCGACGTGTGCTCCTACTTCGGCGTCACGTGCGTCCCGGCCCTCGACGACGCCAAAACCACCGTCGTCGCGGGCATCGACCTCAACGGCGGCGACATCGCGGGGTACCTCCCCGCCGAGCTCGGCATGCTCACCGATATCGCCTTCTTCCACATCAACTCCAACCGCTTCTGCGGCATCATCCCCAAGAGCTTCAGCCGCCTCGCGCTCCTCCACGAGCTCGACGTCAGCAACAACCGCTTCGTCGGCGGGTTCCCGGACGTCGTGCTGCAGATCCCCGTGCTCAAGTACCTCGACCTCCGGTTCAACGACTTCGACGGCACCCTGCCGCCGCATCTCTTCGACAAGGACCTCGATGCCATCTTCGTCAACAGCAACCGCTTCGTCGGCTTCATCCCGGACAACTTCGGCAACTCGACGGCCACGGTGGTGGTGCTCGCGAACAACGCCTTCGTGGGATGCATCCCTCGCAGCGTCGGCCGCATGGCCGAGACGCTTGATCAGCTCATGCTTCTCAACAACCGCCTCGACGGCTGCATCCCGCCTGAGCTCGCCGAGCTCGTCAACTCCACGGTGGTGGACGTCAGCGGGAACGCGCTCGTTGGCACGCTACCGGAGGGGCTCGTCAACATGACCAGGTTGGAGCAGCTCGACGTGTCGCGGAACCAGCTCGCCGGCGCCGTGGCAGAGCGTGTCTGCAAGCTCCCGGCTCTCGCCAACTTCAGCTTCGCGCACAACTTCTTCAGCGTCGAGGCAGAGGCGTGCATGCCGTCTGAGGACTCGCCGGTGGAGCTCGACGACAGCGGCAACTGCCTCGGTGGCGGACGCCCGGAGCAGAAGCCATCGCCTGAGTGCGCACCTGTGCTCGCAAACCCCGTCGACTGCCGCACGAACGTCTGTTCCAAGGGGCCTGCGCCACCAGCAAAGAAGGTTGTTCCCAGGCCACCAGACGTTAGTCCACAGCCGTTGCCGCCAGCGCCATCACCGGAGAAACAACCACCAAAGAAGTCCCCACCACCACGCCCGGTGAGCTCACCACCACCGCCAGCACCGATTAGTTCGCCGCCTCCACCAGTGAAATCTCCACCGCCACCGGCACCTATTAGCTCGCCTCCCCCACCTATCAAATCCCCTCCACCACCGGTTCTGGTTAGCTCACCACCACCACCACCAGTAAAATCACCCGCACCTCTAGCACCGGTGAGTGCACCACCTCCACCAGTGAAATCCCCTCCACCACCACCGGTGCCGGTGAGATCACCTCCACCGCCAGTGAAATCACCACCTCCTCCAGCACCGGTAAGTTCGCCGCCGCCACCTATAAACTCGCCTCCCCCACCGCCTCCAGTAAGCTCACCACCACCTCCAGTGAAATCCCCTCCACCACCTGCACCTGTAAAATCACCTCCTCCACCGACTCCAGTGAGCTCACCACCGCCTCCGGTGAAATCCCCTCCACCACCTACTCCAGTCAGCTCACCACCACCACCAGTAAAATCACCTCCTCCACCCGCTCCAGTGAGCTCACCACCGCCTCCTCGTGAAATCCCTCCACCACCTGCTCCAGTCAACTCACCGCCACCACCTGTAAAATTACCTCCTCCGCCGGCTCCTGTGAATTCACCACCGCCTCCGGTGAAAACCCCTCCATCACCGGCACCAGTTAGCTCACCACCACCACTTGTAAAATCACCTCCCCCGCCAGTTCCAGTGAGCTCACCACCTCCACCGCCAACTCTGGTAAGATCTCCACCTCCGCCGGTGAAGTCCCCACCACCAGCAGCTCCAGTAAGCTCTCCACCACCACCAGTGACCTCTCCACCTCCACCAACACCTGTGAGCTCACCACCTCCTCCAGTAAAGTCCCCTCCTCCACCTGCACCGATCAGCTCTCCACCCCCACCAGTCAAATCCCCACCACCACCTGCTCCAGTGAGCTCACCGCCTCCACCGTCTGTCCCATCACCACCTCCACCAGCACCATCATTAACTCCACCGCCGGCTCCTGAGGAATTCATCTTGCCACCGATCATGGCGCAGCAGTACGCGTCGCCGCCGCCGCCTCAGTTCCAAGGATACTAAGCGGTGATCACAGCACGCTCGATCTACTCACAATGAGAGTAATCGTGACGAGGAGGCCAGGAGAAGCAGTGATCAGTTGATCGCACCATGCATGCTCTAGCAACGTGAATTGAAAGCTCAGATGAGCGCATGCGCATGGTACGTGCGTGCGTGTGTGTATAAGAGAATAGGTAACGTACGCATGTACTAGCGCGTGCACATTGTAACATGACGAGTTGATGACCGAGAAGAGAAATGTGCAAATGGAGAAGGGATGGTTTTTGCCTTTCTGGGATTCTTCTTATTAACACAACGTGCAAAACTTTTTTTAGATATTAGAAAAGAATTCCGGCTTCATACTTCTTCATTAGATGAAGAAGAATCAGTCCACTATTATTACAAACACAACAAAAAAATGAGTTCTAAATTATTGACCAATCTGAAAACATAAGCCCATCCATATGATGTGAAGAACATTATGCATCTTATATCTAGAAGTCAACATGCTTGTATGATTTGCTCCTTGCACTTATCCAAAAGCTACAAGTGGATCCAAAACCGCAGCCAATATGCTCCCTAAAAAGAAGCTGCAAAAAAGTTTTCAAATGACAATTATTAAAAACTGAATCATTCCTTGTGAGTCAATTGCCCAACAAATCGTTGTTGCACCTATCAATAACTTTAGGTTGTGCTTGTGACCCCCTAATTTCGCTAAAACATTGAATAAGTGGTTTATATTTCTAAGAGGACTTATACCAAACACAATGGGTTTCTAGTTGCAGTTGCATTGCCCCAGTCGTTGTTGAAAAACAAGTTTCAAGGGCGGCTTCGTTATGGCAACTGCATCTGAAAACTTGGTTTAGGGATGGCTGTCATATAACAACAACCACTGAAAATCAATTTACAAGGACAGTTGTCATAAAGCAACCGCCCCTGAAAATACGGTCTCAAGGGAAGTTGTTGTAAACCAACGGCTCTTGAAAACTTATTTATAGGGGCGGATTCCTTAACCGAACCGCCCATAGAAATGTTTTTGCAGGGACAGTTAGATGTTTGACTCTATAAATGCCATATCTTTACAATCGATGTCATAGTGACGGTTTTTTGAACCAGCCCTGAAAATCATTTTTGACCATTAGCAAAAACCATTCCTATACTAGTGAAAGAACACAGTTCAAGAAAATTTCGCCATCAAAACTCTAGTGCAGAAAAGATATTCAAAGAACAACCAGGAGGCAAGGACTTGATGTGTGGAAGGAACCAAGCCATTCTGGCAAATCATTCCAGTAGAGTAAACCGGCATGGGTGTGGAAAACCCAGCATAAACCATGTGAAAAGCGTAGTTACCAACCGTTCCAGATTATGGTAACCCAGCATATATGGGTGTGGGCCGAAATCCGGTCGCTTTGTAATAGTCTCTTGACCGAATTATTAATTAATGTCTTGTTTAGATCTCATGGTTTAATGTTTAGTTGGCTAAAGTTAAGTACTAAACTTTAGAGCATTCTAGCTTAATTTTGTGGTTTAATGGATTAATCCTCTTTTTAAAAAGTTGGCTGAACAGTAGACACAACTTCAGATTACCTGTTTGAAGTCTCAGGAGGTAAAATAGTCTAGAGTTTAGTGATCACATAATAGGATCCAAACCGACCCTAATATATGTTGAGCAAAACTCACGTACTGAGATGACAAACCGTCCCGTCTCCCTTTGACAATTTTGTGGGCTTCGTTAATCCTGAAACGGACGGCCAAATCATGGTGGTGACTATGGATGAAAACGGTACGGATATTTATTCGACCGTCCGTTCGATCGAATAAATATGAACACTTATCTGGATAGTTACTCGGATATCCGGTTTTTTTCGGATACGGATACTAAAACGGATATCTTAGGCGGATATCAAATACGGATGTAATATCATCGATATCCGGCGGATATCGGATAATCCGGATAAGTATAGGATATATCCGGATATTTAAAAACGGATATTATTCGGATATTTATTCACAATTTAAAAATCACAAATTTAAACCATCCAAACTATCTCAAATGGAAAGTTGACCAAAACAACAATTGTAGATCTTGATGAGTTTAACAAACTTGGTATTCAAAACTTTTCAATTTGAAGTCATTTAGAGTTCATAATACTAGAGTCAAAGTGTTGTTTTTTCATTTGACCAAATTTGACTTGGTCAAACTTGCTCAAATGAGACACTAAATGACCTCAGATGAAAAAACTCTGAATACCAAGTTTGATCATCTCAGCAAGATCTACAATTGTTACATAGCTCATTTTCCCATTTGAGAAAGTTTTATCAAACACTAGTCATAAATTCTTGAATCTCATATAGACTTTCTGAAACTATGTCACACACTTGTGAAATTTGAACTATATTTTGTTCAAACTTTCTCAAATCAAAAAATGGCCTATATAAGGATTGTATATCTTGATGAGATGAACAAATTTGGTATTCAAAAATTTTCAATTTGAGACAATGTAGGGTTCCGAAAACTAGTTTGTAAACGTCGAAATTTAAAAATCACAAATTTGAACCGTCCAAACTATCTCAAATGGAAAGTTGACCAAAACAAAAATTGTAGATCTTGATGAGTTGAACAAACTTGGTATTCAAAACTTTTCAATTTGAAGTCATTTAGAGTTCATAATACTAGAGTCAAAGTGTTGTTTTTTCATTTGACCAATTTTGACTTGGTCAAACTTGCTCAAATGAGACATTAAATGACCTCAGATGAAAAACCTCTGAATACCAAGTTTGATCATCTCAGCAAGATATACAATTGTTACATAGCTCATTTTCCCATTTGAGAAAGTTTTATCAAACACTAGTCACAAATTCTTGAATCTCATATAGACTTTCTGAAACTATGTCACACACTTGTGAAATTTGAACTACATTTTGTTCAAACTTTCTCAAATAAAAAATAGCCTATATAAGGATTGTAGATCTTGATGAGCTGAACAAACTTGGTATTCAAAACTTTTCAATTTGAGACAATCTAGGGTTCCGAAAACTAGTTTGTAAGCATCGAAATTTAAAAATCACAAATTTGAACCGTCCAAACTATCTCAAATGGAAAGTTGACCAAAACAAGAATTGTAGATCTTGATGAGTTGAACAAACTTGGTATTCAAAACTTTTCAATTTGAAGTCATTTAGAGTTCATAATACTAGAGTCAAAGTGTTATTTTTTCATTTGACCAAATTTGACTTGGTCAAACTTGCTCAAATGAGACACTAAATGACCTCAGATGAAAAAACTCTGAATACCAAGTTTGATCATCTCAGCAAGATATACAATTGTTACATAGCTCATTTTCCCATTTGAGAAAGTTTTATCAAACACTAGTCACAAATTCTTAAATCTCATACTGGACTTTCTAAAACTATGTCACACACTTGTGAAATTTGAACTACATTTTGTTCAAACTTTCTCAAAATGAAAAAATGGCCTATATAAGGATTGTAGATCTTGAATCCATGACCATGACTCCATGAGACCCATGAAGCAATGTGCTTGGCTATTTCTACTCATCTTCATGAAGATTGGTGCTTATATGATGTTTGATGTATGATGTATCTCAGTATCTTTATCTTATTTGTTGCTTTACTCTTTAGTCTTTCGGCTTAATCTAGATGGATTATGGACTCATAGAGTGGTGTAATGGTTTTATGCACGTATGATATATATATATATGTGCTTTTTTACTCAATATCCCAATAGATATTTGTATCCGACCTTCTCCGAATCCGATTCATACCGTATTCGATACTCATTATTCGTATCCGTAACCGAGTCAATCCGTATTCGTATATGTATCCGAATGCTATCCATGTCCGAATCCGAATCCGAACAGAAATATGAAAACAAATATAATATGAGTGATATCCGTTCGTATCCGATCCGTTTTCATCCCTAGTGGTGACTCTAGCCCATCGACCACTCATTTCCTGCCTTGGTCGTACTGGTAGCGGCAGACTGGGCCTTCACCTCTCTCTCCAGATGGGCATCGCACAGTCCAGCCCATTTCGCCGCCGATCACCACCATATTTGCGTTTGGGGAAAAGTCAACACTACCTCCTCAATTTTCATGAAAGTCCGATTTTTCTCCCTGAACTTCAAAACCGGCCAAAACACCTCCTTCCACTTTTAAAACCGTTCATCTTATCTCTATGGCCCTGCTATAAGCGGTTTTGAAGGCGGTTTTGTCTTTTTATTTTTTATTTATTTCGGCTGAATCTTTGAAAGATCACAGTAAATCACAGAAAAATCATAAAATGAAAAATCTAATTTTGTTAGACTCCACATGAGTAGATCTATACGTTGAATATATAATATGGTATACTTTAACATAAAGTTTTTGCTGTGACTTTAGATCTATGCTTTTATGTAATTAATTAGAATAATTTATAGCTGCAGTTTCTATGGTCCAATTGTGATAAAATTTTTTATAGTTGGCTAATTATTATATGGTTGAACTATAGTAAAAACTTCATATTCGTTGGATCATGTATAGCTTAGTTATAGATTTATTTATATTTAACAAGTATAAACCTAAATAAAATATTTCGATAAAGAGCACATAAACATAATCAAAGTGCTAATGCTGCTCTTGGTGCCTAGCAAACCGTAAATCCATTTCATGTCCTCGCCGAGTTACTCTAGTAATTTATCTTCGAGAATGTATATATTCTTTTTGCAAAAAATAAGAACTACGCTAAATAAAACGCAAAGGGAGCACCACCTGCAGAAGAATACGCGACCACAGAATATAAGAGTGTGTTTGGTAACTACGTGGGAAGAGGCATAGAAATTAGTGAGGGGAGTTGATAGAGAGAATTAAGGTGGGAAATTGACTTTTAGTCCTAATTCCTCATTTGGTTCGTGAAGGGAAATAAGGAGAATTGAAGAGAGAATTTATATCCCATGTTTGGTAATTGGGGTTTTGAGGAGAAAATTAAAAGGCAAATCATGATGAACGGTGTAGATCTACTTTTTTAATTAAGAACACAACTCCCGTCTAATTCCCACCCCTCGCCTAGAGAATTGATTAGTGAAAATTGATCCTCTAAACTCTCCTTCCCCTTTTCACCAAAACTTCTATTCTTACAAAACAACTCCTGTCTCTAAACTCTAGTTCCCTGCTTTCTCCCTGCTTTCTGTTACCTCCAACCAAACGAGCCGTAAATTATTTGTGGGGCGCGTCGTTCCGAGGCTGCGAAGCATTCATCAAGAGCTTACAGCCACGGAGTACTCTGCTGACAGAACAATAAACAGGTCATTTATTCCCTGGATACAAACAGCAAATCCACATGGCGCGCAGATTGATGAAGATGCCGCGTCACACAACTCACGGCGCCGAAGAACACGGGCACTTATTCCTCTCACCCACCGTCCAGATGTGAATATAAAATCCACCTCCAGTCTCCAGCATAGGAAATATTTTTTGGGAATAAAATGGTTTCATATTTTGATTTCATCTGCTTGTAGTGTAGACGATGCCTAGCACTCAGCAGAGAATCCACAGAAATTGCAAGGGTTGAGACAGCCATGGCAGATGCTTAAGATTTTTTTCTTCTTAGGGGGTGTTTGGGACTGCTCCACAAACTCTGCTCCACAAACTCCACCGTGGAGCAGCTCCACAAAAAACTGGAGTTTATGGAGTACCTCTTTAGGTGCTCTCACAACTCCACCCTTTTTCCTGGAGCAGAGTGCGTGGAGCTGAAACCGTTTGGCTAAAAAATGTGGAGCGGAGCTGAAAAACATGGAGCAGAGCAGTCCCAAACACGCCCTTAATAAAACTAGTAGATCCTTGTGATTTCACAATCTGGGGCGGATCCAGCAGGGGGGGGGGGCTCAAGGCCCCCCTACCCATACCGCCATACCGAATCAGTACAAATTACTATAAATCTCATATAAATTTTTAGACAAAGTTCTAGTGTAGGAAGACTGAGACTTAAGATCGAGCAATATTCAATCTCCTCTAAAATATTTCCTGGATCCGCCACGGCTGAAAATGTATGCGAGTCATGGACATGGACTACCTGACGATGCTGTCAACAATGCTTCAATCCGTGGTCAAAATGCAACCAGCGGTACCAATCAGTCAGCTAACAAACAGGCGAGGCAACGTGGGTATCACTGTCATCTGATCCAGCCTGCAAGAACTAGTATTAAACAAAGAAGACGCTCCCTGTAGTGCCGTACATGTTTAGCGAGTAGAAAACTAGAGATCATTAGATTCAAAACAAGGACGCATGTTCTCAAAACAAGGACTCAAAATGGCAACGGGTACCCGAAACCTGAGTACCCGACGGGTTTTACCCGATAAGAAGACGGGTATGGAAGACATTTTACACCCGCGGGTACGTTATTGGACGAATTCTTGTACCCATCAGGTATGCGGGTACGGGTGTGGGTGTATACTACCCATACCCGCATACCCGCGGGTAAAAAAACCCGCTTAAATAATATCCAACCTCTGCAATTTTAGCCAATATAAGCATATAGCCCATATTTGGCCCATATAAGTATATGAGTATATATATTCCAGAACTCCCTCAAACCCTAATCCCATATAAGCATATTTGGAAAGAACCAACGAGGCATCTGATCTATTTCAACTAGCTTGACCTGGATATATTTCTGTTTTGCTGCTCTATTGTTGATTTGTTTTGCTGGAAGCTATTATATTTTGGTGTGTGAACTCGGGTATATTGTTGGGTGCGGGTTACCCGTCGGGTAAGAATTACCCGTCGGGTGCGGGTATGGAATGAATTTTCTACCCGCCTGCGGGTACGGGTAACCCGACGAGTAAGATTTTGATCTGACGGATGCGGGTACAGGTTGCCAGTATCCATCGGTTACGTACCCGTTGCCATCTTTAACAAGGACGCATGTTCTTCCTTGTTCCATGGTGGTGGTGGTGGTGGTGGTGTGCTGGGGCACTGCATTCCTGCTAGCAATGCAGGTGAGATTGTAACAGAACAAAGCGCAGGGAGCCAGGAACACACACACGGATCTGCATCTGCTGCAGATCAGGAGTGGAGCGGCACTCCAGGCCATGGTTGGGTTTGGTACCGGCAATCAGCAAAGCAAACTCTGAATCTGTTTGTTTTATAACCTAGAATCCAAAGAACAGGACACTTGCAGCCGGGAAGCAATCAATCAAAGCAATGGAAAGGATAAGAGTATATATGTTCATAAGTATTAAGCAGGCACAGGGGCAGGACATGAATCCATCTCCCTCCCCTTACTTTACAACAGCACAAAGATCTGACAAACAAATCCATACAACAATGAAATCCATAGCTCTAGTACTTTAAACAGCAGCATCGGTAGCGGTAGGCGGAAGAGCTTATTCTCGGCGGAGCGGAGGAGCGGCGGGCGAAAGGCCGGACCTTTTCCCCCAGTCCCGGCCGGCGGCGGATCCGGGCGCTCACTCCTCAGCCGCGGCAGCGGGTGATGCGGGAGCAGCCGCGGTGGTAGGGGTTGGCCTGGCCGCCGGGGCGGCAGTTGTAGTAGCTGGCGCCGCGGCGGGAGCAGGGCACGTTGTCCCGCCGCAGCGCGCCGTAGCTGATGTACCCGCCGCCGTACAGCGCGCGGCGGTGGGACTCGGCGGAGGAGACCAGGTCCAGGCCCTCCTCCTCGGACTCCTCGGCCAGGCACTCGGCCACCGTGCCGCGGCACTCCCTCCGGCGGCCCGCGCCGCCCCCGGAGGAGGAGGAGAGGAAGCCCAGGTCCAGGTCCAGGTCCAGGTGGCTCCCCGCGGCGGCCGACGCGGAAGACGCCGCCACGGCCAGCAGCAGGAGCAGAGCCAGCGCGAGCCTAGCCATGGCGCCGGGCGACGGAGTGTGCAAACGGCGGCGGCGGCGTGGGATGTGGGGGAAAGCGCGTCGGGGAACGGGGAAAGGAGCCTGTGCGTGAGCTGTCTTGGTGATGCGAGCCCTGTCTGCCCTGGTGTGCTCGTGAGGGGGAGAGGAGTGGAGAGAGAGTCTGTGCGAGGGATGCGAGGCGCAGAGATAAAGGAGAGAGAGGCGTGTGGGGGTGGCGAACAGAAACGCGGCGCCGAGGGAGCAACCGGGCAGACGCGGTGCGCGGCGCACAGCGCACAACCTGGGCACAGCTGCCACGCCACGACGGATGGTGATGATGCTAGTCAAAGGACAGCGACATGTGCGAGGAGGCATGGATGCAGGCAGGCCCATGGTAATGGCGGTGGCCACCGGCGTAACCACAGGGCCCAGGGGTGGGGAGGGGCCGGCGCTAATCATCCAGGTGGCCCTGATTCTCCCGGACAACAAAACCTAAACATGTGCATGTTCGTGGAGGGACTGGTAGCTCTTGCTTGTGGTCGTGGGTGCACAGAGGCAGGCACCTGGCTTGATGGTGCCTCTGAGAATTTCGAGCTGGTTGCTTCTTCCAACAATCAAAGTTACCCGCTGCTGTGCTGCCTAAACAGCTGGGCGATCCATTGAGGATCGGGTTGGTTATCCGTATTAGGCTATATCAAGATTTGTGCGGTGCAGTTCATTTCCATTTAGGGCCTGTTTGATAATACGTTTTTTTTTTACTGTGGTTTTATAAGCTAAAGAGACATAAAACCGTGTTTAAAAAAAAGAGGTCACGAGTAGAGTTTCTAAAACTCCAAAAAGTCTGATAAAACCATGGTTTTAAATACTACAAGATCTGTCGCATCTAAACACCCAATAGCTTTTTAAAACCAAAGTATTTTGTACCATAGTATTTCTCCGATACTTTAAAAATACTTTGCATCTAAACAGGGCCTATTAGTTGTAAACATTGGTTATTATGTATTATACAGAGTTTGCATTAGCTAGTACCTCAAATTTAATCGTGTTAGACAATGCAGGTTTGCACAAGCTGATACATACGTAAAAATGGAATACTCAGATCACTATACCTCGACTAGAAATGTGAGACCTCAACTAGGACACAATGGTGACTACGAAACGTAAACAATCGTAATTTTATTAAATTCAGCTTCCCTGTGTATAAGTACCAAAAATATCACGACATTGCATACGTTTATATGGACTTAACTTACTCAATTTATGTAAAATTCCTAGTTCTAAAAAGGATACTACTGTATCGCCTTCCCCACGGTGACACCAACTTCCAAGACTTAACTGTAGTTTCTTGTGGTTTGGAGGCAATTTACCGTGCGCTTTGTTGTAATTGTATTTTGTTTTTTTTTTCTACCCTAAACCACAGATGACAAAAATGCTACAAACCACGATGATTTTTTTTATATTTTAGAAAAGTCATCATTCACGGCGCTAATGTATTTCTAAGAACATGGTTATTAACCACATCTTCCACATTGACACCTTTTTCTTAATCATCCGCTTCATTATCACCCTCTTCACTATGCTTATTCCATATCTTATATTAGAGTATTCCACAAAACCCTGAATAACGAAGTAACATCGTATCTGCTCGGGGTTGCAAAATTATCTCAGATTCTTGTAGTCTCTGCATGGGCAACACAAGTAGCCTTCATCTAGTTGATTGCAGGTCCATAACACAAGCTTTGGTCGTCTTGATAAACGAGTCGATGTCCATCACAAATTGTAGATCCGTAAGACCAAGATCATACATCCATCCTCGATCCATCTGTCAGAAAAAAATAATAAATGTTTGCTAAGTAAATATAGTGTCCAATAATAATAAATTTCTAAATCCTATATCAGATATAATTCAGACATGGCTACATTAAATGTTTGGTTGGTAATAAATGCTAAAGAATCATACGGAGTACTAACAAAAAAAAGTTCCCAAATTAAATCATTAATAGTTAGGGCCTCTTTGGCACGGCTTATGCCGGCTTCGGCTTCATCTATTTTGCGCAAATTGAGGCACTGTAGCGTGAAGCCGTTTTGTAAGGCGGGGTTAAAATGAACTAGAAGCCGAAAAAAGCCAGTTTTTCTGGCTTTACCGGCTTTGGCTTCACCGATGAAGCCGTTTTGGATGAGCCGTGCCAAAGGAGGCTTAAATAAAAGTTAGAGAACCGTGCTAACGAAATTAAAATGCTTAGTAGGTAATATAGACTCAAATTAAATTACACGTGTCTCTTGGGTTTATTAAGAGTAATTAAGGGTAGTCCGAATGCTAGAAACCACATGTAGTTTCTATGTTTATTAATTTTTATAGACACTACTAGTACAAATTATGTTCCAATGGATAGTTTCTATACAATAATTTTTTGTTCAATCACATATCTTCTCTCTCCATCACCTACCAATCATAACTCTTCATGTCTTAGTTCTTAGCAGCCTGAGAACCGGAATGTGGGCATGTTCCACATTCCGGGAACATCGTTGCAATTCGTGGAACGGGAACATGATGGAACATCGTTCCGAACACCGACGGAACATGATCCACACCACGGATCCGAACATTCCAAGTCATTGATGGAAATCTGAGGACCAAAATTCAATTGATGGAAGAAAAAAAAAGAAGAGAGGTCGCATGAGGAGTTCAATTATTTATTTTATCTTTATTATTTTAGAACTTTCTAAGGTTCACATTTAGTGAAAACTTGTGCTAATTAATTCGTTCATGTTATCAATCAATTTAATTTGGATTATGTTCATCGTTCCGGACACACGTTCCATTTACACTTGGTACGTGTTCCATTAATCTAAGGAACAAGATCAAGCTATGTATACCCCCTTCGTCCCATGGACTTAAGAAACAACATACCACGTATCGCATTCCGGTACCACAATCCCAACGTTCCGAGAACTTAGCTACTATGTCTTGGTTTCTGTCGATGCGGGACCCACATGATACCCCGCAAGAGAGAGAAGATCTAGTTCAACTAGGATTCTTCCCATGTAATCTTAGTAATAGAACTATTAAGTAATCCTACTAGGAAATCTCATTGTAAACCGATTATGACTCTGGCCTCCTGACTATATAAAGGAGGGCAGGGCTCCTGAGGGACAAGGGGTACGACATAACACTTCATAATCAATCCAACGCAAAAGGCAAACGCCGACCGTGACGAATAGATTACTCGATCTACGATCGAGGGCCCAAACAGGATAAATCGATCGCTCTCTCTTGCGTTCACCATCGAAGTTCAGCATACGCCGAGACCCGAACGATACTACCACGGTACCCCCGTGGTAGGCTATCGGTGGTAAAACATCGACCGCTGGCGCGCCAGGTAGGGGCCTTCGGTGACTTTGCATCCAAGAGCTCGATGGACCTCAATAACATGATCTTCCCGACGGGATCAATTTTCATCTTCGGCTCGTGGATCTGCGAGGCAGACGACTACGGCAAGCTTCAAAGTCATCTCCTCAAAGATCCGGATCATCATGAAGAATCCTCTATTTCGACAACTACGACGGATCAACTCATCAGAAGATTCGTGCAGCTCATAATACCCGATTCGAATAAGATTCCATCCGACTCGAATTCAAGCTCCGTATCCGAGATGAAGTCTTATTCGAGTGCTTTCAAGAAGTCGAGTTCTTGTTTGGCAAGATTCCAGAATACAAACCAAAACAACTCGGATTACCCTCAGAGTTTTTTCAAAAGGCCGAGTTCTTTTCATTTGGGCTGGACAACACGACAAAATCCTATCGTGGACGGTTTGAAAGGTCTTTCAAATCAACACTTGGGATACCAGCGACGAGAGCTCGGGAGGGCCTCGTTCTAACGATAACATCGCAAGATCAGATCATCCATCGGCGAGGATCTGTTCACGAGGATAGCGAAAACCAACTAGTCGGCTGCTTGACAACAATGACTATTCTACCTTACCAAGAGGAGACTCAATCTCTGACGTCGAGGCGCTGCAATCGAAGTCATCGACAACTCCGACAATATGACAACAAACGACAATAACGGAACAGCTCACGCGGGGAGTATCTTGATGGTTCGGCGCCTCGGTCGCCATTAAACCCCGAAGCACCCGATGTCGGTCATCGGATGAATCGAATCCAACATATCACCCTTTGCTCGGGGCTACGATGGAGAAATCGAAAGTCGAGACAAGCTCGAGAAAGGAAAAACAAGTTGAAACAAGGCGCGCCCGACACCACGCTCGACAACAACAGAGAGAGCTCGGACTAGATACTGAGTCGAAATTGGTGAATCGACAAAAGAAAATCACAACAAGAGGTCGAAGGGAGACGCTTACAGATGAGTACGCCTTACGATAAGATTCGAGAAGCATTAGAAGAACTCGGGGCAACTTCACATCACGGGGAGAAATACGAACAGCTCCGGGACTTGCTCGTCAACGATCCCAAGAACACATGAAGAGAGAACCCGATCAAGAATACCGCGGATCAACAACCCATAGGCAAGAAGATCAAAATCAAAGGAAGTCCGCTTTTGAAAGACTTGGACCAGGCGGAAGCCATAACGAGGAAAGCAGGAGGGAACATAGTCGGGGCCATCAATTTGAACAACCAAGGAAGACCAAGAGTAGAGGGCCTACCCAGACAGCCTCGCAGAATTATTCCCATCAAAACAACACTTGGCCAGAAGAAGGAGCCGAATCCGAATTCAAGGAAGTCGGAACGCATGATAGATTCCCCTGTTTTGCAAACAGGTTGGCATCAGTTCGATTACCTCACAAATTCAAACCGTCTAATCACTCCAAGTATGATGGCAAAACCGAACCAAGACAATGGCTCAGAATATATTCACAATCAATTGAACTAGCCGGAGGAGACGATGATATTAAAACATTGTTCTTCCCCATGGCACTGGAAACAATGCCCCTCCAATGGTTTGATAAATTGAACCTAGGATCGATCAGAACTTGGGAAGACTTGCAAAGAGCTTTCTGCGA